TGTTCATCAATTTAGATTACAAGGTTGATACTAATAGGATTTTGACGGGTAAATTTTTTATGAGTTAGAGTACTCGAACATCGAAAAAACTTGGACCATTGGATCGGTCCTGGAAGTTATTTGACAATAAAAAAAATTGACTCTATCTTAAAAAAGAGACTTTGTTGAGTTGATGTTGTTGGACAATGACTAGAAGAAAAGATCCTATCATAGTTGTTGATATTTTGGTCATATGAAACAGATGAAAAAAAATTCCTGTCTCCTTGTTCGTTCTGATTGCTTTGTTAAAGTAAAAATCTTGACACTAGATGTCATTCAAGGAGGCTAATAAATTAAATGTGAAGTGATTAACAAGAATTCATGCAAAGATGAACAAAGCTTTTCAATACTTTTAATGAAGATTACTTTTGTTGGTGATAATGTGGAGCTATATTCAGAGAAATTGTAGCTTAATGAAGGCATTGCTGACATAATTAAATCAAACTTAAAGTTTTCTATTTCTATTAGTAGTTTATTTGGTTAAGATATAGAGAATCATTTGGTAGTTTATTGACGTAGCCGTTTCTATTTACCAGGTTTCTATAGAGTAATCATTTGGTAATTTTTAAAAAATATCACAAAAAATTTTAAACTTTAAAAATACCCCAAAATGTATCCCAAAAACACCTTCAAAAAATCACGAAAAAATCTACAGTAAAAAGTTTTTTATATGTATTGCTAATTTGCTATAGTAAAATATTTCAAAAATACCCCCAAAATAGCTAATCCGAATGGAGTTAGGGTGTCTAGTTATTGTTTTTAGTTGAGAAGGATGAGGAGAAAAATTAGAGAGAGTTGTGGTTGTTTTAGAGGCAATTCTGCCTAGGCACAATTATGTTGGACTCAAATATGAGAGTTGGATATGGTTTATGTAATTTATGATTATTAAACTCCTCTTTTCCCATATATTAGTCTCAAAATATATTTCAGATGTCATAAGTTTAGAAATGTAAGATTAATTAGAAAAATAAAATAAATACAAGGGAGAGTGGGTAAAATTAAATAAAGAAAGTGTATAAATGCAAGGAAAGAGAATAATTGTTAGTATATATATATACATGGTAGGTTAGGTGAATTTTAAATATATTAATGAGTTCTCAATGGGTACTCATTAGAAAAACCCTATTTTTATATGTGTCAAATATACTTCTACTATAATAAACCGAAAAGAGAAAACAAAAAAGAAGACCATCAGGTTTGGCTAAAATAATTATACTTTAACAAAAACAAACAGAAAAAAAAAGAGAAAGAGCAAATGATTTTTCCTACTAGTACACCTAGCTTAGGCGAAATGCTATACGAACATTCAAAGATTAATTGGTGGAGGAAAGAATGTGGCCGCCCTACTTCCCCCTAAGGCGAACCAAAGGATTTGCGGGTCGCCTGCCTATCTCTCGCCAGGACTCACTCACTCTAACAACTAATTTCACCAAACATAAATCGAAAATAAACCTTACTTCTCGAGCAAGTTAAGTACTTAAATAAATCATACAATTCAACTTATACAGCCCAAAAATACAATTTCAAGTACCCACGAAAACCTCGAGCTTAAAATACTTAATTTACAATTTACAGTTCCTAATCCAGGGCACAGAAGCACCACAGGATTCACATTTTCCCAAAGGCACAAAAAAAACAAAAAAAAAATCATCCAAAAGATATTAAAGTATCTCCCAAAGTACAATTACAAAAGTGGGCATTCAAAATATAACATTTCTTTTCTAGTTCTCCAAGACTTCATGCGTTTCAGAACCTGTCAAGGAAAACAAATTGGAAGGGATAAGCCAATAGGTCAGTGGTGCCTCGTAATATGCAATTCACATAGGGCAATTTAACAAGTACAAATGGACAAGTAAGCAATTAACAATTTAGGAAAACGAAGTAACATGACAAGAAAAGGATACGGGGCTCTCAGGAGCCAAAGTCCTCGCGCTTGATCAGGTAATTTATAGTAGTTGATACTCCGTGGACTTTCACTACCTAATCTCCATGTAGACATTTTCCCTAATCTACACGTCTCCTAGCAACGACTTCCCCCTAATTTTCGGCCCCGACTCCAACACGAATTTTGCAAGCACTTTTACCAAGACGGCAGAGAGGTACCTCCCACTCTAATAAAGCGTGGTACATGCATCCGTTTGGTTTATTAGTCGACGAGACCACGCTCCAATCGACCTTGCAACACTTGTACTTGTGACATTTCACGCAATCACATAGCATATAACATTTCATGATATCTCTAGCAAGTACTTATAATAAGTAGTTCAACTAGCAGTTAAACACGATTCATGCAAGAGACACTCACCTCAAGTGAGGAGTCTAGAATTCCAAACTTTGATCGAGATTGTGCTCTTCACCAACTCATAAAATCATACAAATAATTCACATAAATTTCCACTTTTGAGTTGGCGAATTTAACTCAAGTCAACTAGCATTTAATTTCACTCAAAAATCCCAAACTAGCATTAATCGTTCTCTCAAAGTGAAATTCACAAATTTCGAGTGAAATTAAATTTTGAGGTTTCTTTAAAACCAAAAACTTGCTAAATTCGTCAAATATTCCAATAACCAAGTTCTAGAGTCATATAAGCAATTAACACCACTTTGGTGTCACAAGTTGAGAAAAATCACGTTTAACCATTTAGAGGAATTTTCCCTTCTAATTTTCCCCAAAAATATCTTGGGAAATTCCTTTAAGAGGAAATAATCTAAACCAAGTAAAACTAGTCGTTGGAATTTCTATAAAATAGAAACTCCTTAAGTTTGCCAAATTCCATTGACCAACTTGGTTCAAGGATTTTCATGAAGGCAAAAACTTGAGTTTTCAAGAAAATTTCCAAATTTGGCATATTTCTCGAAATAGGGCAATTGGTCTAATAAAATTCAAGGTTATTGACTCGAAGTGGACCTAGTAACAAAGGTTAATGTTAGAAAACATTTTCGGGACAAATTTAGTCCACATTTAACCAAAACGAAATCCAAACGTCAAAATCATTTCTAATTTCAAACAAAATTTCAGTTTTGGGTAGTCTCATGAAGAATAAAATTTTGGTCCACTTTTTGGACGTAAATTCTACTAGATTTATGTCCCAAATAGAGCTATACACACCCCTTAACTAAACACAATTCAAATTGGGTTCATGTTAACGTGAAAATCATTCAACATGTCTCATGCAAAGCTGGACAAATTTCCAAGTGCATTCGGTACAAGCAGTCCATTTTCTCTTCAATTTGTCCAAAATTTTTTTTTTCAACTACTCAAAAGCTACATTTTTACCCAAACAATACTTCACATATAGGTTAACATGTTTACATCTCAAATGGTTCAAAAACTTGTCAAAACCAAACCCCAAAATTCACCCAAAAATCTGAAAATTTCCAGAATTTTTTCGGACAGCTCAAGGGGCATTTTTCTCTTTGATTTTTCAATGAAATTTCCCATTGTACCAAAGCTGCATTTTCACCAAAACTACTCTACACATATAGGTGAACATACACATGATTTAAATAGCTCAATAACTTCACAAAATCCAGCTCAAAAATTCGGGTAAAAATGGAAGAAAATCAAGCCTGTTTGTGCGGCTATAGCAGAGCAGAAATTTGCTCCTGTTTTTGCTCAACCATTCTGAACTTATAACTCATACTTTAAGTCCATAACAATCACAACTAATGAGTCTATCCTCCCAACAAGCAATCGAGTTCATTACCTAAGTAAAAATTGCAAAACAACAACTGGTAACAAAGCTGGAAAATTGCTTCCTCATCCGGCCAGCACCCCATTTTCATTCTTAAAAATTCCCCAACATTTAACCACCACAAAACACACATATAAACACATAAAACACCTCTAGCTTCATCAATCATTAGCTTAGAGGATCAGCAACCCAACAAGTTTCACCAACGCAAGCTAAAATTTCAAGAACCAAAAGCTACAAAAATATGAAATCCTGCTAAGTGCTAGGCGGAAGTTTTTGGGTTATCTTCAGGTGGTTGTTTACAAGCTAAATGAAGTGCCTAGTTCCTCAAGTTTGCTCCTAGAATCAAAGAAGTCGGTCGGCACCCTTGCACTCTGTTTTTCCGCTTGTCTGACCTGTCACCACAGCAGCACAGCAGCGGCCGAAGATGAAGAGGGCTGGGGTTCTGGGGTTTTTGGTGAGCTTGGGGTGGTTCTGTGGTTGGTGGAAGGAAGAAAAAAGGAAGCTATTTTTTTCTCCTTCACCCTGGTCCGAACAACCCAGCAGTAGTAGCAGCGGCAGGAGCAGCGAGAGTAGCAGCAGCAACAACGATCTTCTCCTTCCTCTTACTCGATCGAGGCAGCAGCAAAGAGTGAAGGTTGATGCTGGAAATGGAAGGTGAAGGTAGGAGTTGAAGGTTGGTGAAGATGAAGGATCGGTGGAAGCTGTGGAAGAGCAGCGGCTCCTATTTCTTTCTTGCACCCGAAGATCAGAATTTGAAGGGAAGATATGAACGTGAAAGCTGGGATAAGATGAGTTGAAAATGAAGGTAAGTTAAAGGTATATGTTTGTTGACTTTTGGGCCTGCCATTAAGGGTGGGGAAATTTTGAATTGAATCGTGTTTACGAGCGAGAATTTTATCTACTGGTAGGAATTTCCCATTTAACATTTCCTCAACTTAGTTGTATATTTTTATAATCTCTACATACCCTACATTTCAACTTAGGGCTACATTGTGCGTCAGTGCGCAAATATTCACCCTAATGCTTAGCCGAACTCGAACCGTCAAATAAATTTTTAAAAATTCATGTAATTTAAAATGTAACATTTATATAAGTGAAAACATCATTAATAATACAAATACGCATTATTAAATATAAATACATATTATTTAATAATTTCAACATTTAAATAATATTTGATTTTAATTTTCAGAAATTAATGCAATTTTGAGATCCTCACATCCTTCTCCCCTTAAAAAAATTGTCTTCAAAATTCTTACCTGTTCAAGCGAATAACTCTGGGTATTGGTCCTTCATGTCCTTCTCTACCTCCCAAGTTGCCTCATCGACGTCGTGATTTCTCCACAAGACTTTGACTAAGGCAATCTTCTTATTTCTCAATTCTTTAATTTCTCGGTCCAAAATCTTAACTGGTCGCTCCTCATAGGTCAAAGACTCGTCCACTTCAACTTCATCTAATTGAATCACATGACTTGGGTCGGGATGATATTTCTTGAGCATAGATACGTGGAAGACTTTATGAATCCTGCTCATACTAGGAGGTAAATCTAGCTGATAAGCCACTTTTCCAACTCGTTTAAGAATTTCAAAATGTCCAATGTACCTCGCCTTTAATTTCTTTCCCTTCTTGGATACTACCCCTTCTTTCATAGATTTCACTCTTAAAAAGACTTTGTCCCCTACGTCAAATTTCAAATCTTTTCTTCGGTGATCTGCATAACTCTTCTGCCGACTTTGAACAGTTTGAAGTCTCTCCCTAACCAGTTTAACCTTCTCATAAGCTTTCTCGATCCATGGAATAGCTGTCGGGTCTAAAACTCTCTTCTCTCCTACTTCATCCCAATGAATAAGGGATCGACACCTTCTACCATAAAGCGCCTCATACGGTGCCATTTGGATTGAAGCCTGATAACTGTTATTATAAGCAAACTCTGCCAACGTCATGTACCGGCTCCAACTCCCTCCGAAATCTAATATACAGGATCTTAACATGTCCTCTGGGATTTGTATGGTCCTCTCCGACTGTCCATCTGTTTGTGGATGATATGCAGTGCTCAACTTCAACTTAGTCCCCAAAGTCTCCTGAAATTTCTGTCAAAAGCGGGAAACGAATCTAGGGTCTCGATCGGAGACTATACTTATAGAAATCCCATGCAATCTCATAATTTCTTCTGTGTACAACTTGGCTAGTTTCTCCAAAGAGTAACTCATATTCACCGGTAAGAAATGTGCAGATTTAGTAAGCCTATCCACTATCACCCAAACCGCATCATGTCCCTTTTGACTTCTAGGTAAACCCGTCATAAAATCCATGGTAATATGCTCCCATTTCCACTTAGGGATTTCTAAAGGTTGTAACAAATCAGAAGGCTTTTGATGTTCTGCCTTAACCTGCTGACACACTAGGCAAGTCTGTACAAATTTCGTCACATCCCTTTTTAAGCCATCCCACCAATAAAGCCCTTTCACATCCTGATACATCTTGTTAACTCCAGGGTGAATAGTATACTTGGACCGATGTAACTCCTCTAGAATTTCTCTTTTCAAACCCTCTTCACTAGGTACTACTATTCGATCCCTAAATCTCAAAATGCTTTTAGGTCCTAGCTTAAAATCTAGGGTTTCCCCCCCTTCTCACTTTCTCCAAATAACCTTGTACTATCGGATCCTTCCCTTGAGCCTGCTTAATTCTTTTTAACAAAGGGGATTTTAAGGATAGATTTCCAAACAAGATTTTCAACATTTCTAAACGAGGATTCCAATCACTCGCTTCTTCTAACATATCCCATTCTCTCACCATTAGACCCACTACTTGAGCCCTCCTACTTAGTGCATCTGCAACCATATTTTCCTTTCCAGGGTGATAATTGATTGAACAATCATAATCCTCAAGAAATTCTACCCAACGCCTCTGTCGCAAGTTCAACTCCTTTTGTGAAAACAAGTACTTAAGACTCTTATGGTCGGTGAATACCTCAAATGTCTCTCCATACAAGTAATGTCTCCACTTCTTCAAAGCAAAAATAATAGCGGCTAACTCTGGGTCATGGGTCGGGTAATTCATCTCATGGGGTTTCAATTTCCTAGAAGCATAGGCCACAACTTTTCCCTTTTGCATTAGAACACAGCCTAACCATTCTCTAGAAGTATCGGAATATACTACATACCCATCAATTCTCTCAGGTAGGGCTAACACTGGAGCCGTAGTCAATCGCCTCTTCAATTCTTGAAAGCTCGCTTCACATTTAGGGCTCCAAATGAACTTATGATTTTTCTTAGTTAACTCCGTCATTGGCCCAGCAATTTTTGAGAAATCTTTTATAAAACGACGGTAATAACCTGCCAATCCCAAGAAACTTCTAAATTCAGTTGGATTCTCTGGTTGTTTCCACAAAGTAACTGCCTCCACTTTAGTTGGATCCACTGCGATTCCATTCTTAGAAATTCTATAACCCAGAAAAGAAATTTCTTCCAGCCAAAATTCACACTTACTGAACTTAGCGTAAAGCTTGTGTTCCCTCACACTTGTAAAACTATCTCCAAGTGCTTGGCGTGATCCTCTCGGGTCTTAAAATATACTAGAATATCATCTATGAATACCACCACAAATTGGTCCAAATATTTCTTAAAGATTCTCTGCATTAGATCCATGAAAGCAGCTGGGGCATTGGTTAACCCAAAGGGCATTACCGCAAACTCAAAGTGCCCATATCTAGAATTAAAAGCAGTCTTAGGTATGTCTTCCTTTTTAATCCTCAATTGATAGTACCATTGTCTCAAATCTAACTTAGAGTACACCACCGATCCTTGCAATTGGTCAAATAATCCATCAATCAAAGGCAAAGGGTACTTATTCTTAATAGTCACCTCATTCAAACCTCGATAGTCAATGCACAATCTCAAACTCCCGTCCTTTTTCTTTACAAACAAAACTGGAGCTCCCCACGGTGAGTCACTTTCCTTAATAAAACCTCTTTCTAGTAGGTCCTGCAACTGGATCTTTTGTTCTTTCAACTCCGTAGGAGCCATTCTATAAGGAGTCTTTGAAATTGGGGCTATTCCTGGAACCAAGTCAATCTTAAACTCTATCTCCCTTTCAGGTGGCAAAAATGTTAATTCTTCCGGGAAGACATCGGAAAAATCTCGTACGATTGGCACATATTCTAATTTCACTTGGTCACTAGGGGCGTCAATTAAGAAAGCTAAGAAACTCTGGGCTCCCTTGTGAAACATTTTCCTAGCTCGAATCCCTGAAATCAAAGCAGACGAAGCTAATCTACCCCTTACATCTAGCTTGAGAGTTACCTCACCTGGGATGCAAAATTCCACCACTTTAGCTCTACAATCTAGCTTAACATGGTGGTAAGACAAAAAGTCCATTCCTATAATCACATCATACCCCTTAAGGTCCAAACTCACCAAGTCAACTAGCATTTTTCGCTCCCCAATCCAAAATTCACACTCCTTATACACTAAACTAGTGAGCATGCTCTTATTACCCATAGGAGTCCTAACTTCCAAATCATAGGGTAATCATACAGGCTTTACATCAATTCCCCACAGAAAAGCATGATTAACAAACGAATGAGTCGCACCGGCATCAATTAAAACCTTAGCTAATCGATGAAAGATTGGAAGTGCACCTTCGACTACCTTCGAAGGGTCAGGTACAAGTTGACTATCTAGGGCATAAACCCTGGCCGGAACCTTTGGCCGACTCCCTCCAGAAGTAGTTTGCCTAGAACTTATGGCACCTCCTTAGCTTTCCCCATTCTCGGAAATCCTAGAACAATTAGCAGTTTGGTACTCAGTACTTCCACACTTGAGGCACTTGTCATCCTTTCTCCAGCACTCATTTGTAGTATGATTGGCTTTTTCACAGTAACCACAGGTTATCTGAGGGGTTGACACTTGTACACCTTGTGGAGCACTCCTAGGGGGTCCCCTTCCACTTTGACCTCCTCTCACTCCAGATACTCTCGCCCCAGAGCCTCTAGCTCCAGCACCCCTTGTTAAAGCACCTCTCGATGCACTAGGGATATTCACTACCCCAGTTCCTCTACCCATCTTGGACGGTGGGGCACTTGTAGAAATTGGGTCCTTGTTACCACTAGGGGCATTCCTTTTCCTAGCAAAGAATGACCTAGATTGGGCTCTAGCCGTCTCAAACCTCTGAGCTTTCTCAACGGCATCACTATACGTGTTAATTTGAGCAGTTGCTAGCCCCTCTTGAATCTCCATATTGAGCCCTTGCACAAATCTCCTAATGCGTCTCTGCTCAGTGGCTATCAGGTCAGTGGCATATCGGGTTAATTTAGTGAAGTTGGTCTCATACTCTGCTACACTCATGACCCCTTGTTTGCACTTAATAAAGTCATCCTCCCTTTTCTCTTGTACTAGAGGTGGAAGAAATTTGGCATTAAACTCACGAGTGAAATTTGTCCAAGTACTAGGGGTACGATCTCTATCCCACTTATCCTTAATTAGATTCCACCAAGAGCGTGTAGCTCCCTCAAATTGAAATGACGCAAAAGTCACCTTCTGCGTCTCAGTGTAATCCAAGGTGGCAGAAATATCAGATATTCTCTCTCACCATCCCTCAGCTATTTCAGGCTCTGGCCCACCTTGAAACTTAGGTGGCCCAAACTTCAGGAACCTCTTCAAGGCCCTATTTTCAGTATCTACCTGCCCACCAGATTGTTGATGCACTGGTCCAGGACCTTGACGGTCCGTCAAACGCTCTAGCACTTCGATTATCCTATTAATAGCGGTGGCCATTTGATCTCCGCCCCCGCCCTCGTGTCCCCGATTTTGGTTCACTTCCGACGCTCTATCGCCGCCTTGATCACGACGGGGTTCAGCCCGTCTCCCTCGACGTCGACCTCGACTTCAGCCTCGGCCTCTACCACGTGGATCCATACCTAGTTATGCCTAATGCAAGAGAAGAAGTAAGTATGCAGAAATTTACGCAAAGTTTAAAGAGCAAAGCAGGAAAATTATAAAAAATTGAGAAACAAAGCAGAAAATCATGCCAAATGAAGATCAACTTGAGGGCGATAAAAATAACCACAACTAACACATATATTAATATTCGAAATTCCTACAATTAGCATTTCGTTGGGATTTTACAAAAATATAGCACAAAGGTGCTACAAGGTGCAACCAGTCATTCATAATCAAAAGAAGTGCAACACCATAAAAAGCAAGCCATACAGTTACAAAAATACAATGGCCCAAGAGTTAGCACCATCCCAACCAATGTTTATAGATTACAAGTCAAAAGAAAGTTTAACTAAGCCTAGTCCTCAGCGGGACCATCAGATGGATTCCCCTCATCAGGATCCTCTTCTGGATCCTCCTCCGAGTCCTCCTCTGGACCCTCCTCAGTATTAGGAGCTACCTCTAAGACCTCGTCCATCACCTCATCCACCAGCATGGTAGCATCCGCTAGTATCCCAGAGGCTCGCTCACGAACCATGTCTCTCATCCTAGCCAGGCTGTCCCTCGCTCTCTGCAGCTCCTCACGGTCTGCCTCAGCCCTAGCTCTCTCCTCTATCACCCGTCCAGTCAGCTCTGTTACCCTATTCTGCAGATGAGTCACCATGGCACCTAACTCATCCATGTCCTAAATCAGAGTCAGGTTGAAATTCACCAACTGGCGACGCTCATCGTCTATAGTCAGAACTAAGCGGTTGGGGTAGGAGAAAGTCAACCTACAGTCACACCTAGGGACTCGGGTGACGGGCGAGTACTGGAGGCAAGCTCCACCACCCAGAACTCGGTAAGAAATAGGCCTAAGAGGCGGCGCGTGACCATTCGCGTGCTCGTTACCATTAGCAGCATGTCCATTCCTGTTAGGGTTCTCCATACCTACAAAACAGTCAAAACTTTTAAAGTTAGACCTTAGCACCATTAACCTAATCAATTACACTTAAAGACACCTAAATATCTCATTCCTATTCCTAGAAATAAAATACCTAACAATTCTCCCAAATACATTCTAACCTAACGCTCTAATACCACCTGTGGCGGCCCCACTTTCCCCTAAGACGAACCAAAGGGTTGGTGGGTCGCCTGCCTAACTCTCGTCAGGACTCACTCACTCTAGCAACTAATTTCACCAAACATAAATCGAAAATAAACCTTACTTCTCGAGTAAGCTAGGTACTTAAATAAATCATACAATTCAACTTATACAGCCCAAAAATACAATTCCAAGTACCCACGAAAATGTTGAGCTTAAAATACTTAATTTACAATTTACAGTTCCTAATCCAGGGCACAGAAGCATCTCAGGATTCACATTTTCCCAAAGGCACAAAAAAAGAAAAAAAAAATCATCCAAAAGATATTAAAGTATCTCCCAAAGTACAATTACAAAAGTGGGCATTCAAAATATAACATTTCTTTTCTAGTTCTCCAAGATTTCATGCATTTTAGAACCTGTCAAGGAAAACAAATTGGAAGGGATGAGCCAATAGGTCAGTGGTGCCTCGTAACATGCAATTCACATAGGGCAATTTAACAAGTACAAATGGACAAGTAAGCAATTAACAATTTAGGAAAACGAAATAACATGACAAGAAAAGGATACGGGGCTCTTAGGAGCCAAAGTCCTCGCGCTTGATCAGGTAATTTATAGTAGTTGACATTCCGTCGACTTTCACTACCTAATCTCCATGTAGACATTTTCCCTAATCTACACGTCTCCTAGCAACGACTTCCCCCTTATTTTCGGGCCCGACTCCAACACGAATTTTGCAAGCACTTTTACCAAGACTGCAGAGAGGTACCTCCCACTCTTATAGAGCGTGGTACGTGCATCTATTTGGTTTATTTAGTCGACGAGACCACGCTCCAATCGACCTTGCAACACTTGTACTTATGGCATTTCACGCAATCACATAGCATATAATATTTCATGATATCTCTAACAAGTACTTTTAACAAGTAGTTCAACTAGCAGTTAAACATGATTCATGCAAGAGACACTCACCTCAAGTGAAGAGTCTAGAATTCCAAACTTTGATCGAGATTGTGCTCTTCACCAACTCCTAAAATCATACAAATAATTCACATAAATTTCTACTTTTGAGTTGGCGAATTTAACACGAGTCAACTAGCATTTAATTTCACTCAAAAATCCCAAACTAGCATTAATTGTTCTCTCAAAGTGAAATCCACAAATTTCGAGTGAAATTAAATTTTGAGGTTTCTTTAAAACCAAAAACTTGCTAAATTCGTCAAATATTCCAATGACCAAGTTCTAGAGTCATATAAGCAATTAACACCACTTTGGTGTCACAAGTTGAGAAAAATCACGTTTAACCATTTAGAGGAATTTTCCCTTCTAATTTTCCCCAAAAATATCTTGGGAAATTCCTTTAAGAGGAAATCATCTAAACCAAGTAAAACTAGTCGTTGGAATTTCTATAAAATAGAAACTCCTTAAGTTTGCCAAATTCCATTGACCAACTTGGTTCAAGGATTTTCATGAATGCAAAAACTTGAGTTTTCAAGAAAATTTTCAAATTTGGCATATTTCTCGAAATAGGGCATTTGGTCTAATAAAATTCAAGGTTATTAACTCGAAGTGGACCTAGTAACAAAGGTTAATGATAGAAAACATTTTCGGGACAAATTTAGTCCACATTTAACTAAAACGAAATCCAAACGTCAAAATCATTTCTAATTTCAAACAAAATTTCTGTTTTGGGTAGCCTCGTGAAGAATAAAATTTTGGTCCACTTTTTGGGCGTAAACTCTACTAGATTTTTGTCCCAAATAGAGCTATACACACCCCTTAACTAAACACAAGTCAAATTGGGTTCATGTTAACGTGAAAATCATTCAACATGTCTCATGCAAAGCTGGACAAATTTCCAAGTGCATTCGGTACAAAGTAGTCCATTTTCTCTTCAATTTGTCCAAAATTTTTTTCAACTACACAAAAGCTACATTTTTACCCAAACAATACTTCACATATAGGTTAACATGTTTACAGCTCAAATGGTTCAAAAACTTGTCAAAATCAAACCCCAAAATTCGCCCAAAAATCTGGAAATTTCCAGAATTTTTTCGGACAGCTCAAGGGCATTTTTCTCTTTGATTTTCAATGAAATTTCCCATTGTACCAAAGCTGCATTTTCACCAAAACTACTCTACACATATAGGTGAACATATACATGATTTAAATAGCTCAATAACTTCACAAAATCCAGCTCAAAAATTCGGGTAAAAATGGAAGAAAATCAAGCCTGTTTGTGCGGCTATAGCAGAGCAGAAATTTGCTCAACCATTCTGAACTTATAACTCATACTTTAAGTCCATAACAATCACAACTAATTAGTCTATCCTCCCAACAAGCAATCGAGTTCATTACCTAAGTAAAAATTGCAAAACAACAACTGGTAACAAAGCTGGAAAATTGCTTCCTCATCCGGCCAGCACCCCATTTTCATTCTTAAAAATTTCCCCAACATTTAACCACCACAAAACACACATATAAACACATAAAACACCTCTAGCTTCATCAATCATTAGCTTAGAGGATCAGCAACCCAACAAGTTTCACCAACGCAAGCTAAAATTTCAAGAACCAAAAGCTACAAAAATCTGAAATCCTGCTAAGTGCTAGGCGGAAGTTTTTGGGTTATCTTCAGGTGGTTGTTTTCTTGCTAAATGAAGTGCCTAGTTCCCCAAGTTTGCTCTTAGAATCAAAGAAGTCAGTCGGCACCCTTGCACTCTGTTTTTCCGCTTGTCTGACCTGTCACCACAGCAGCACAGCAACGACCGAAGATGAAGAGGGCTGGGGTTCTGGGGTTTTTGGTGAGCTTGGGGTGGTTCTGTGGTTGGTGGAAGGAAGAAAAAAGGAAGCTATTTTTTTCTCCTTCACCCTGGTCCGAACAACCCAGCAGTAGTAGCAGCGGCAGGAGCAGCGAGAGTAGCAGTAGCAACAACGATCTTCTCCTTCCTCTTGCTCGATCGAGGCAACAGCAAAGAGTGAAGGTTGATGCTGGAAATGGAAGGTGAAGGTAGGAGTTGAAGGTTGGTGAAGATGGAGGATCGGTGGAAGCTGTGGAAGAGCAGCGGCTCCTGTTTCTTTCTTGCACCCGAAGATCAGAATTTGGAGGGCAGATATGAACATGAAAGTTGGGATAAGATGGGTTGAAAATGAAGGTAAGCTAAAGGTATAGGTTTGTTGACTTTTGGGCCTGCTATTAAGGGTGGGGAAATTTTGAATTGAATCGCGTTTACGCGCGAGAATTTTATCTACTGGTAGGAATTCCCCATTTAACATTTCCTCAACTTAGTTGTACATTTTTATAACCTCTACATACCCTACATTTCAACTTAGGGCTATATTGCGCGTCAGTGCGCAAATATTCACCCTAATGCTTAGCCGAACGCGAACTGTCAAATAAATTTTTAAAAATTCATGTAATTTAAAATGTAACATTTATATAAGTGAAAACATCATTAATAATATAAATACGCATTATTAAATATAAATACATATTATTTAATAATTTCAACATTTGAATAATATTTTGATTTTAATTTTCTGAAATTAATGCAATTTTGAGATCCTCACAAAGAAGACACACAGTTTAAATCATAGTTATTAAACTCGATCCGACCCAATGGTCGAACGGATCAGCCTTATAAGTGATAACTCTAGCATCAGGTCGGATTGGGTCTCTAGTTTTATTGCACAAGGAGGTGGCCCACTCAAACCCAATCAAACTCATTTGACTCGCTGGTCGAATTGAAATTCCATTCAATTTTTTAGTTGACTCGATTTTTCTTTTAAATAACTGGGTCTTTGTTTTTGAAATAAAGTGTGTATATGGTTTTGACAATATTTATATGTTGGATCTTCATTTAAATGTGCATCATACTTTATCACTTGCTTAATTTTTATTTGATAACTAAGTATTTTTTAAATAAACTTGTTTACTTCTTTACTATACAATTAATTCTTTTTAAATTTCAAACTGACATATTTGAGTAGTTAAAGAATTATTTTATTTTTAAACAAAAATAAAATAATAAAAAGTAATGCTATATCTTTGGAAACAAGTGAAAAATTTTGTTTGTATTTCACTATATTATTTATTTATGTAAAAGTATGACAAAATGAAATTAAATCTTCTATTAATATTTATATGTTCATTACATATCTTTCTAAATATAATAACTAATAACTAAAAGCACTTTATTAGCTATTTTATGTGTACTAAAATTACTATTTTGTATTTATAAATATTAAATTAGTACCCATCAATTCAACCAGTGACCCATTGATCCAATCCTTTGCTAGATTCTTTATCGGGTCATATTTAATAACTATGGCTTAAAGTAACAGGAATTATGCTCTTAATATGAGCATTTAATTAAGAGTTCCTCACTTAACTAAGGTTGAGGCATTATGAATTAAAGATCTTAGATTCAAATTTCATTATGTATGTGTTTCATTCATTTGTTTGTCAGTGTTCATTTCATCATTTATAGGTTAGTTTGCAATAACATTGTGTTGCAGTCAGTTAATATTTGATTTGTCTAACTATATGTTAGTGTTCATCCTATTACTAATAGGGTTAGTTTGTACGACGGATTATGGGTTACTTAGATTTCACTCATGTTGAATCCTATTTGGGTTGTATTATATATTTAAAAATTATCTCTAATTTTAAAATAACTTTAAAAAATAACTAATCTTATCTTAATAATATCTGCTTTCTATCAAATTATTACATATAACTATAGTAAAACCTTTTTCAAATCACAGTTATTGAAATCTTATATATCGCATAAATTACTTCCTTTCACCACTATATCGTTAATTAGTATTCAAATTGTTCATCATCTTTTTCCTTAATTTTGAATTAACTTAGTGTAAAAAAGAGAATTAACTATTACACTAACAGATTTACCAAGATTGTTGGAAACTGAATATTTATTAATGAAAAAAAATGGATTGCTGGACCTTTTCTACTTAATTAAATATGAATCTATAGTTCTAAGTTTATGGTCATTATAAGAATTTAAATTATCTAAAAGAATATTTATAAAAAAAAGCATATCTACCAAGTTTTTTATATGGGGTACATCATTTGATGTATACTTTCATATTATAGTGAAAATATATAAACAAACTTTTTAAAATTAATAAATAATTGAACATTTAGAATATATTAATTTTTTAAGTTAATATGACCGAACATGTAGGATTATTGTTAATTTTTGTATTTAAATTATTCATATTTATATAAATTCACAATAAATAAAAAAAAAAGACTGTGCCAAGGTACGGGCAAAATTCTATTTGTTCTTGATAAATGAAAATATCCAATATATCTTGAGTACTATATCATATTTGGTGTGAATTTTAACTGAGACTACGAGTCCCATGTAATTATCTTAGTGTGGCGGGGAAATTACCCAGAATAATTGTATGTAGTAATGGACATTCTTGACTGGAACTAAATGATTGAATCCCAAATGAACGAGCTCATCCCACCTTCATCCAGAACAATCACGGAAATATATCCAGCAGACTTCTGCTCCTAAACAGCATATTTTTCCTTTTATTCTTTTTTTTTTAAAGACAAGTATAGCAAATTTACAGACTCGAATGTTCTGGCCAGTAATCTAAGTCATTTTCAATCTTGGGCAATTGTCCTTTTCAACACAATTTGCACTTCTTTGGATTCTCGGCAGGTGCATGTACAGGTTCTCTGATGTCTGGCTAAGATTTACTTTCATTTTCTAGTCAACAATTAAAGTTGCTTACGAGTATGAAAGCGTGGAAAGTTTTCTTCTGCCGAAATTTGCAAAAAGACAAACTAATGACTTTGAGAACTTTTGAAACCTCAATCAATGATGTAAGGGAGCTACCAAAAGAACGTGACCTTAGGATAAAGATTCTTTACTTGCGTCACAAAACTTGTCTCTAGAAGAAAGGAGTCGAGAAAGAATGAAAGATTCGCATGACCACAAAGTTAACTTTTGGTTGTATTTGGATGGGAGATTTCAAGAATAATGTGAAATTCATTAAAAAATTTTGTCTATGTTGTTTGGATGATTTGAGAGGTCTTTGAATTTGTAATCTACCATGGTAGATTACAAATTCAAAGACCTCTCAAATCATCCACACAATCTAAAGGAACTTGAAAAGCTTTTAAGGCTGTGTTTGGCATCATTGTTTTTTGTGTGTTTTTAACTTTCAGTTGTGTATGGATTCATTGTTTTTCCTACAAATTATTTTTGTCCGTAAAGTTTACAATAACAAACTCTAAAAATAATTTCAAAAATAACTCCAGAAACACAAAATTTCAAAATACATCTAACCAAAAAATAACAAAATAAAATAAATACCCCTACCATCTCTTTTTTCTTCCACCCACCACCACTGGCCATTACTGCCACCATTCCCCCCTTTCACTCCTCCACCTCCACTATCTCCCTTCCTCCTCCTCCCTCTTCCTTCTCCTCTCTTTTCCTCCTCCACTTTTTCCCTCTCTACGATTTGATTGTGGGTTAGGTTGCAGATTTGACCGCAACTAGACCGGACAGCAGGCATATAAAGTTTGTCTTCGGCATGAACTCCCTCCCCTCTCCCTTCTCCCTGCATTTTTTTTCCCTTAAGAAACCTATAACTTTGACACGATTGAAGTTTTTTGATTTGTTTTGTGCTTCCGCCTCATCAAGACAACAACTTTCATGATGTGGAGATAGTTATCCTTGTTGAACTTATCCTTTTATGCAGAAAATATGGTATTGCGAGGCAGTATAATTATGCCTCTTGTATAGATCTTGGCATGGGAGGTTCTCTTGACTTTTTTTTCTTTTTTGTTTTGTTTTGTGGTGCGGGGAGGGTTGGAGGGGTTGCAGGATGGGGTCTTGGTTTGCATTTCTGCAAATGCATGCTGGATTGTCCACTCCTAGATGTCTGAGATTGACAAATTTGATTGTTTTGACTTGTTTTATATGTCAACTGGTCTTCTTTTTTCTCCTTGTAGGTACTGGAAATTGTCCCTCATGGTACATCCGGACAAATGCTCTCATCCACAGGCCCACCAAGCATTTGTGAAGTTAAACAAGGCTTTTAAAGACTTGCAGGATCCAGATAAAGTGAGTGTTGTACAATAGTAGTGCTTCAAGAGAATTTTATTCTATTACTTACTTTTTGTTACATTCTACACGATCTCTGTCTTTTCCTCTCACTCTTGCTCTCCATGGCGTTCTGCTTCAGCTATGTGATGATTTTTCAGTGATGTGGTTTTGATGGAGCATTTGGCCCAAAGTTTTCGTTGAAGGAAAAATAAGGGGAACTATTACGAAACTTAACTTTTTTTTTCTTGCACCTTGTAACACTCTTTTACTTGCTAGAAGTTTTGATTTTTTCAATCTGTCATTTTTTTGAATACATCTAACTAAGCGCCTTTGCCAATGAGTGAAAATTTCATTGACAGTAATAGGGATGAGATAGCTGATAAACGTCAATGGTTGCTTCTACTGTGTTTCATAAGTTGTGCGAATTATTTTTGAGAAGAACCTTGCACGTGTATATATATATCTTTTTATCTGATGTAGTTTCAGGACTTTGTATTTTCTACTGCATGTAACTTTACGTGAAGAAGATTTGATATTGTCTTTTGTTTCCACTTCATCATCTTTTTTATAGCGAAAAGCATTGGATGAGAAAATAAAGCTCAAAGAGGAACAAGAGGAATTCAAGGTACATTTTTTGCAGTGATCTTGGCAATCTCAATGTACTTTCTCCTTTCCAATCGTATTATTGCTAGAAAGGTTATTATCAATACAGGCGGAATTGAAAGCAATGAAAGAAGCTGCACACCGGAAACGTTTACAAGGTAAGTGTTTTTTATTTTTTTTTTGTTTTCTGGGGAATAGTGTGATCACTGTTCTTTTTGGTTGCATAAGAAAATGTGCTGTCTGCCTCTCTCTCTCTCTCTGACATGCATATTTGGTCACCTCACACTTGTGGTGCCTTTACTATTACAACAAGAAAAGATGATAATTTCAATCCATTCCAGAATTTGAATATATTGGGTTTATGTCCAGAACTACATATTTCATCAGGGCAAGGGAACCAATGTGCTTTGCTTTGTCAGACTGAAGGATCACTGGCTCAAAGGATGATTAAATGCAACAAATAACACTTTTTTCTTTTACAATTAAAGAACTCCAAATTGGATCCCAAACTTTTGTTTGGGCCACCAGATTCCTGCCTAATGGAGGGACAGTTGGGGAGTGATAATGCTTTAGAAAAATCATTTAAGAATAATTGGACTAGTGAGACATTACTGATTCTGAATTTCCTTGCACTCAAGATTAATTGAGGCTGCGCTATGTTTCGTTGACTCTAGTTTTTCCAGTAATAGTAGTTGATACTTTATATTGTCTAAAATCAAGTTATGGTACAAAACGATGGAGCTTGCTACTAAGGCTCTCTATGCCCTGTCTCATCTTGCACGATGCTAAGATGTGTGACTAAAAGCTGAAGACTAAAGCTTATTTATGGCTGAGCTATCTTTGCACAGACATTTTTTTCCATATAATTATAGTTGAATTTTGTTCTACATACACTTTCACATAGTCTATTTGTCGCCATGTAGCCTCTTTATAGTATGGCTTTCCATCTTTCAGAAGCATAAAATGTTCGAGAGAAAGCTGAAGACTCAGGACATGTGGTGGATCGATTTTATTGTACATTTTTCACCCTAGTATTTCCTATTGTATGTCTTCTGTATGCAATTATGTTATGGTCGTGAAAAGGAAGTGCACCCTAAAAGGGCCTTTTTACACTGTGACTCATCTTTCACAAGGCTAAAATGTTTTGGCATTAGCTGAAGACTGATACAAGAGTATTTTCTCTTCTTTTATGCTTCGGATGTGCAATTATTATGTCGCAGTTACTTCTAGTTCTTTTAATCATATAGCGGTAAACCTTGTTGTAGTTTACCCCCCAAACTATTTTTGTAGGTGCTTTGCCCCCTTTCATGACATAGTTGGACAAATCTGCCCCTTTTATCTTAAGTATGTTATTTTCCATTATTCCCTGTCATTTTCGTTTTAGATTCTTCCTCTTTATTTTCTTTAAGCATTGTTTAAATTAGCATACTAGATTAATCAAATTTTATTTATTTCTTAATTTCTCATGTCAATATTTTATAAAACAAATCTATGGTATAGAAGACTTTTTTTTCCCCAAATGTTGAAGTCAATATCATTTAAGAAATCGAACTATTCAAATATATAAGAACAAAATCGAGATATTGATTAATCAATTATTAATAGTATTAATAACAAATAAAAAATGAATTACTATTGTTATTTATTCTTATCTTTTTATTTCATTTCAATTAACAATTGTTAACTTTTCTTTCTTACGTGATACATAGTAAGTTACTTTTGTTATAAATAGTTGAGTAATTATAAATTCTAATTGGTTTATAAGTACTTAAATTGTTGAATTACTGGATTAGTATACTTTACGATATAAGCTACATATATATTTTGTAATAACAAAGAATTTATGATGAATTATTAAGAATGAATTTAACAAATAAATGAATTAAAAATATAGTTCAAAAAATATTAAAAATTTTGATGTAGGTCTTTTAACATTGGAGGGAAACATTGGCTAGTTCCATGAGAGAAGGAGAAAAAAGAAGAAAATAAAAGGAAATAGAAATGGGAGAAAAGGGAAAAATTGAAAAAAAAAAAGATTAGAGAAAAAAGAAAAAAATTTAAAATAATAAGGGTAGTATTGTTCAAACATATAATTTAAGGGAACAAAATACCTATTATTATAGTTTGGGGGTAAACTACAATTAGGTATATAGTTCGTGGGGGGGGGGGGTTTGCATAATATCAAAACATGGAACTATCTACATTATATATTGCGATAAAATTTATCGTTGAGTTCTCTACTTACAATTTGAAAAAGAATTAGCAATAAAATGTCCATTGAGAACTCTTCTATTTTACAATCATCACACTAGTTTTTGTTCTCTTTTAATGCTTTCACTATAAATGACAATTTTCGTGGCAATATTAATATTTTATGAAAAAGCTGGAAACTCTATCACTACTTCAAATGTTCTAAGAAAGTTATACAAACTCCAATATTACAATATTAGAAATGGCCAAGATGATGACATATAATATAACCTTCTTTATATATATATATATATATATATATATATATATATATATATATATCTATATATCTCTCTCTCTCTCTTTGTTTTCTTTTGCAAAGCATTTTCTATTGCAACAATATTCTACTTTTTGCATTTTTTTTTCTCTTTCTTTCACACACACACGCACATATTCATAGATAATCATCAAAAACTTAAATAAATAGTATGATCAATCATTAGGCATTGGTTCATAAAAGAGATAAAAAGTATTGAATTACAAATTTTAACCATAATTAGGGGAATAATTGAATTAGTTGGATTAAAAAATTAATAATATGAACAAGGCATTAAATATATATTTGGAACATGTTAACATATTTCTATCAATTTAATGATAAGACAAAATAATAATGGAGCAACTCAATAAATAAGAAAAATTTCATATTCCTTACCTCCACCATGATGAGATGGGTCTAGTTGGGTTTTGTCGGACTTTGTTTGGTTGATGTAATTCTTATTAGATTTGGTGTAAACTTTTAGAATTTTAATGTATACTAGTGCATGAGGCACACATATAGAAACATGTAAATAATAAAAAAAGATATAGAATAAAAATTATTTAGAGAGATTTTTGGAAGGTAATGCAATGTTCATTGATGGATTAGTTAAGAGTCGTGATAGTTATGTAAAAGTGGAAGATTTTTCACATTATATGATGGTGGATAATGATAAATGTTGGAATGATATTTTTTGAATAACAAATAATGACACTTTTTTATTAATACCAAACGTCTACTCACGTTTTATTATTAAGATGGTGGATAATAGTAAATGTTAGTTTTATTTGTTTACACTACGTGTATGGATCGAAGACAACCTAAGAGGGGGGTGAATTAGGTAAATTAAAAAAAAAAACTAGCCAAGATATGAGTCACCTTTTTTTTCGAACTTGCTTTCTTTTTCTAAAGAGCCTCACAGAGAAACAATTAATGGACTAGCACAAGTAAAATGTGAGTAAAAGAAGTAAGCAATATATATTTCAAAGCAGTAAATAAAGGAATGGAATGGCAAACCAAGTTTCAAACTTGACTAAGTTTGAATATCACTTTATACACCAAACTTCTTTAAGTTGATCAACTTTCAACCAATCTCTTGTGTACAAAGGAAGGATCACTTCCTCTTTGCCTCAAGTCTCACTCGATCAAGTAAGGAAGTTTTACAATCACTTGGATAACCCTCACAAAGCTATACTATTGAAGAAATAGAATCACACTTGAAAAGTTAAATGAAGATTACACAACTAAGAGTACAAATCTTCTTTTTGGAGTATTTTTGCACTTGAATCACTCAAGATCTGATGTAGACTTAATGTGTAAAAGTAGTTCTTAAGAGTTGACGAATCTCTATTTATAGGAGACCAAAGAATTCTTCAATTAATGCTGTCAACGGATAGAAGGTAGCTGGAGAGTCAACTAGCCGTTGGTAGTTTCGGACGTCCGGTACTCTGATTTTCTGCGCAGAACTGAATAATAGCAGAAGCTATCAAAGAAACCACGATCATGTAAAAGATAATAAGAAAGGTGACAAAAAACAGGAGAGTGAAAAGAGAAGCTGATTCGGTGATAATAATTTAGAAGGGACAGAAAAAAATTAAAATGGTCAAACCAGTGCTTGAGAAAACAGAGCAGCAAGCAAGAAATAAGAAACAAAGCAGTATGACAGCAATTTCGAAATATTTCAAGAATTAGAGAAAAACAAAGGAAAGCGAAGTGTAAAACCAACATGCTCACCAGGAAGCAGTAACGGCAACACCAGCGCAAACTAAAACCAAACTAATAAATTGGGAAAAAGGAAGGTTCAGAATAGCTAAAGAAAAATGAAGAATAATACTTATGACTTATGAGGTAGGTCTTTCTGTTTAGCAAAGAAACAACAGCAATAGAATAGTGAAAAGAAAGCAGTAGATACACCGTTACCACTGATCATGATGATGGTCAGTAGAAAATCTGGTGTGAAAAACCAGAGAAACTGCATAACTATTGTGCAAATGCAAAACACAAAACAGTATGTCAATCAACGGGAGCAAAAGAGCTGATGGTTGACAATGGGGAAAAGTTACTTTTTTTGCAGATTTACAGACATAACCCCAAGTAAAGGACAAAAAGACTACAAGAGGTTTTGAGTGGAAGCATAAATGCAGTCAGAAGGGATGGGTAATATAGTGAAATAAGGCAGGCATTATTCAGCTCAGGTACAATCAACTGTCAACAAAAAGAGGCTGATGACAAGAAGTGTGAAGCAGCGGATGAAGAAATCGAGAAAGTATGCAGCAAAACCAAACAATACCAATTGCAAAGAATTGGTAATTAAGCATGTTAATTTAGAAAAGTAGTTAATTACGAATCAATTAATTAAGACCACCAAAAGCAAAGAAGAAAAGACAAATGAGAAGCGTTTTCTGAAGCTGGAGCAAGGTAGACATATTGGTAATTAATTGTAATTAATTAATTGCAACAAATTGGTAATTAATTGCGATTTGTTAGGCAACAAAAAAGTAACGTTATTAATGAATTAATTAACAATTAATTGTTAAAAAGGACAACCAAATGTGATTTGATTGGCCTGCGAAAAAAAGAGGCTAAATTCTAGCTAATAACTACACAAAATTGGTAATTAAACGTGATTTGTTGGGTAAAAAAATATTAATAATTATAAAAACTGGTAATTAAATGTGATTTATCAAGCAATAAAACTGCTAAAGTATAACTTAATTTCGGTGAAATTAATTGCAAAAAATTTGTAATTAAACCTGATTTGTTGGCCAACCTAAAGTAAAAGAGGACATTTTTTAATAAATTTTGAAAAAAAGGTAATTAAATGTGATTTTTTGGACAAGCACAAAAAAACTCATTTTTTGTTAATAATTGCAATAAAGTTATTAATTAAACGTGATTTGTTGGGTAAAAAAATGACACTATTAATTAGTTATTAACAATTAACTGTAAAAAATTGGTAAGTAAATGCGATTGAGTGGGTTAAAAAAAATGGAGCCAAAATAATAAATAAATAAATAAATAATAATAACAATTAATAGCGGGGAATCAATAATTAAACACGGTGTGTGGCGCGACCTAATAATAAATGACACAAATGGAAGGGCACCATATTGCTGATTGTTTACGTAGATAGTCGTGAAAATTCGATAATAATAGTTGAACGTCTTCCCGTCTCATTAAAAAAAAACCAAAAATACAAAGCAACAAATTTTTTCAACGAGATTAGCTAGGTTGTCGCTGGAAGAAAATCAAATAAAGAGTAAATTCTTCACAATTGGAGCATAACAAAAGCAATTACAAGAAAAAGATAATATAATAATAATGAATACAGCCAGAGCATAACATATGCAATTATTACAATAAAAAACAATAATTAATAATTGCGATTTATTTGGCAACCAAAAGAAAGCACTGATAATTGTAATAAATAATTGGGATACCAATTTTTTTGTCTACACAATTTATTGTTGGGAAAGGGCAAAATTTTAACACAATCCCACAGGTAATATGTTAACAATCACTTCCAATCCAATTGAAAAAAGAAAAAAAAATCAAAGCCACGTGGGACCAAATTTTAGTAGAAGAGTTCCAAGCAAACAAAGAAACAAAAGAATCGATAGACGTCTAATTCACACGAGGGAATTGACACGAGCCAGAAGACTACCAATCGGCCAATGGCAGGCAAACAACAAACAAAGAAACAAAAGCCAAAAGGATTGCTAAACGTCTGAGCAAACAAAAGAATTCACGCGTGGGAACGGACGACCATCAATTGGAAATACGCACGGCCGGACGACCACCAATCAGCCAATAGCAGCATGCCACGTTAGCAATCACAACCCAATTGAAAACAATGGCATTCCCCAATAGACTAGATATGTTAATAAGACTAGGAGGAGAACACCGCGCAATGCGCGGTGTAATTTTCAAGATTGCCCAGAAATGCCCAATGATTCAAATTCAAATATTAAGTATGAAAAGTTACAAAAAAATACACCAAAAACTTTGCCATTTTGTTTTTGTAGTTTTATTAAGCAGTGAATATGAATAATTTGTCAAGGAAATACAAGACAATACAATGAGTAGACTACTAAGAGAATTAAGATGCTCCTTGCTTTTGCATAGAATGAAAATAGAAATAAAAAAAGACACATGCAATGGAAGAGAAGGGGAAAAAATATAGCTTGAAGAAATACACAAAGTGAGTTGATAAAAACCAAAAATCAAGTTGTCAGTTCCTAGAAAAGAATATTTAATAGCAATAAGTTTCCTTTACAGTTTATTCAAATGAATAATAAAATGCATATACATGCAGTATAAAAAGAGAATCTACTTAGCGAGTCTAAACCATATACCAGTGCCAATTGAACAAATTGACAAAGAAAAGAAAAAAGTATTTCTAATTGGCCACAAGCAAAATGATTCTAGACTTTCAATGACTAATAGCATCAGAGAGCTCCAGCTTCATTCAGACTCTCCTCTCGTTCCCGTGAAAGGCTAAAAGCAAATACCTATCCAGCAGTGAACGATGGGTTTAAAAAAACTTCTCTATAGACAAAACTCCAAGTTAAAAGCTACAGACAAGAAGCAATGTCATAAACCCGATTACCAAACATTTGAACAAAAAAATCCTCAAGAAAATATCATAGGAATTTAAATTTCTATGGAACACTTAATTCTGATCAGAAACATCAAATTTTGGGAAAAAAAAGAAGAAGCAATTTATACCAACCTATAATAATAGTCCGAAAGTCAAAATAAGCAAATAAATAAGTAAAAGGACAAGACAGTACCTCAGGAGAAACCAAAAGCAACGAGATCTGACAAAATTTCTTGATGATATTAATGCAAATAACCCATGAGCATCTTCACACTTCTACTTTTAATGTTCTAAACAAAAGAAAAGGAATATCTCAAGAACCGAAAAAGCAACAAAGACAATCTTAACCAAAACCAGCAAGAATAATTAAACCCAACAGGATAATGCATCATCAGTGGAACAGTTAAATCAAATAAAACTTGGATCTTCAGACATATTCAGTGTAATACATTTGAAATTATTCTACCTAAAGCAATAGTAGAAATCCAATTTTACTTTCAAGCTCTTACCATCTATAATGAGTCGATCAAAATCCAATTTTTCAATCATTCTAATAACTAATTCTGCAACCATAGATGCAACTCACACAAATTTTTCTCCAAAAAACAATCGCTTAGGACTGTAATTTTATTATTTCTTCTTAAAACGAGTATCTCCTTGATCAGTTCCAGTGCTTTTATCAGCAACTAAGAAAACACAACGTTTGTTGAAAAAAAAAACTAAGAAAACACAAAAATATTTTTTGTTCTTTTGTTTTAAAGAAACCATATCCACTATCCGGAAAATGAGAACCAAAACTTCACAAGGGAAAAAAATAAGAAAAATAGTTTTCTCAAAAATAAAGACACGAAAAAAATAACTAAAGTTTTTAACAATCATTGAAATGAAATTTGATCTCCACAAATGGAGACTTTGGGTTGGTTACCATATGGATCGTCTTTGTGAGTCAATAATTGAACATACCCCTGCACATAACAAACCCGGAAAAAAAAAAACCATCAGATAAGCCATGAAAAATCCATTTTCCAGATTTTCTTGACAACCTTTTCCTTCAGTTTCTCTACCAAGTATTTTTTCCATAAATAATAAATATCATACAAGTTTGTACATGGGGCTCTAGAGACCCAAAAGAAAGAAACAAGTAACATAGAAACTACTTAAAAAAGAGTACATAAGTTAAAAAAATGAAAAATAAAATAGAGGAAACCTGAGATGAAGAAGGACGAAACCCAAGGAAGCAAAATTGCCCGCAATGTTTCTCGGTGATGATCTTCTCTTGGCTGCATCTGTTTTGTGAGAAAGTATGGATAAAGAAATAAGGAACAACATAGGCAAAATTTAGATATTAACCAGGTGAAAATTTTTGGGGAATAAAACCAATAAATACAGAAAGGAAATAAAGATTAAGAGGCAACAAAGAACCAGATAGTTTGGAGATAGATTATGCAAATTTCCTTGCTTCTGGAGCTAAAGACGATCAAGCAGAGAGAAAAGATCTAGAACAACCCTATTATCCTACAAAGGGAGAAAAATAACCACAACAAGCCACAATGTTAGACAACTAAACCGGAGAACAAAAAGGGAAAAAAGGCTAGAGAAGTTTAGGTAGGGGAGGAAAGAACAAACCCTTTAAGCAATGAGAATAATCTTCTCGGAGTATTTATATGAAAAACCGTAGGCAAGACACATTGCAAAAGATTTTCCATATCTGAACCTGCAATATCACAACAAATATAAAGTTAGACAAGAAAACCCTCAAAAAAAATCTTTTAAAGACTACCGTATAACCACACCAAGCAATAAACAACCTGAAGAAACCAACTGCGTGTAGTTCTCTTTGTGAACTCCTCTATTTCTTTACCAGTCATAATGCACACAAAAGAAACCAAAAAATAAAATAATCACCAAATGATACCTAATAGTCATAAAATTTTTAAAATCAAAAAGAAAAATTCACAGCCAAGAAATATCTGGAACCCATACAACAAATTGAACAAAAGGTGAGATAGCCAAATAAAATAATCACAGTTAAGAGTATGGCCAAATATACACACTTTTGGCAATCACTTTTTCCTCATTGTGTATCAGAATTTCTTGCACTGCACAAATGTAATTTGTAGAGCAAGGACTTCTTCGAATTTGATACACCAGACATGGTAAGCTCAACCAAAAACTCAATATTGGACTGAAGCAAATTACAGCAAAAAAACTTTTGGTTCCGCTGCAAAACTCAGACACCTACAAGGCATTTTAGCAATAAGTGTTAACCACACTTGTAAATGCAACTACACCACTCTATGCATACTCTAAATACAAAGTCACAACTACTGCAATGGAAAAGTAAAGACAAAGACATCTATTCCAAGCACAATTCAAACAGGATCTCCCAGTACCATGTATAACTTGGATGCATAACCATCCGTGTTAAGAAGGCAATAGTAAAGATAAAAGACAAAACTAAGAAATAATACCTATAGCTACTTTGTGAAACCAATGAATAGAATATAACTTGAAAGCTGAATTTCAGGTGAGCTGCAAAGATAATTGGGAAAAAAAAAAGATCACAGCCTAAAAAGTTAAATCTATCTCTTTTTGTAGATATTTCTTGCGTTTTTCCTCAATCTACTAAACAGAAATCAAAATATGACATAAATGGAAAATAAGACTATTAGCAGCAACAAAACTAAATAACTAAACAAGAAATTAAAACATATAATCTTCAATGGAAAAGCCAAAAAAAAAAAAAGAATGAAGCGGAAACTTGAAGGTCCAGTTTAGCGTAAAATTAGAAAAATAGTTGGAAAATAAACTACAGAAAAATTCGAACCTTGAAAAGTTGAATCTTTTTTCCTTCTTCCCATCGACTTTTCTTCCATTTTTCCCTCAATTTATTAAAAGAAAAATGAGATCCCTATCTGTCCAATAGACAGCAGAAATGAGATCCTTAACAGCAATAAAACTAAAGTACTAAGCAAGAGATCTGAAATCAGAAACTTTTCTTACAAAAAAAAATGGAAACAAAAATTTGAAGGCTAGAGTAAAACACAGCCATGCTTTACCATTTATGCAGTCATGGATGTTTGCAGTCCATACAACCTCCATGAATAAGAGGGCTATGTGTGTAGTAAAATGCATGGGGCAGTAGGAAGAGAGCTACCACATGTGGTACTGCTTGCAATATGCCGTCCAGTGGGTGGAATGCCAAACCTGACCAGAAAAGCTGCAGCTCGTTAGTGTTTGATCTCGTAGAGAAGCAACCACGAATATAACAAACAAAATAGCATATCATTATGTCATACATTACTGTGCATTGATCCGACATTGCCAAACTGAAAGTCACTTAACAGAAGACAAATAAGGAGACATCAACAAGGCTTTTTCTCCCACAAACAGAAAATAGATACACAACAAGAAAATAAAAAACAGTAGATTTTTGGGTCTATAAATACTTCCGACTTTCGCTGCTTTTGAATGAAGATTTTACTACGGCTTTCTTTGTTTGTTCAAAGAAGGAGATGGAAGAATAGTATTTCAGACCTCTGGGTTATTAATCGAAAGATTAACAAATCCTAGCAGGAAAAATGTCTTTCTTTTTTAAATAAAGGAAACTGTAAAACTTTAGGGAAATATTGGAGCTTACCAATTAAGATAAGATGATTTCTGTGTCTCATGCGTTTAGGAGCTTCATATCCAGACTAACTCTAACAAGGGAAAAAAATCAGTTAGAATCATACAATTGAAAAAAAAAAGGAAAGAGAAGAAAGGGAAAAGGGGGGAGGGGGGAAACGGGAAGGAAAAATAGAGAAAAAAGGACCAAATAAAAACAACAAGAAGGAACAAAGGAACAAAGAAAAGAAAAGAAAAGAAAAATGGAAGGGGAGAGGAGAGGAGCTCTGGAAAGCAACGAAGCGGCAGAGATGAATGAGGGGAAAGAAAACAAGGGAAGCCCTAAAACAAATTTTTTGGCACGCGAGTCCCACGTGATTGACGACCAAATTCCAGCCAATGAAACCCAGCCATGTCAGCAAAACAACCACCACCCTTAGCAATCTCATTCGCGCTTTTACTATATAGGTTGATGAGATATAGACCCGCGACCCAAAACCGGATCCGGAACCGTTTTATCTAATAAAATTACGGATCAAATACGAAATATGCCATTCCGACCCGTATTCGATCCGAACCCGCTTTTAATTAATTAATACTCCCTCTGTCCCACTTTGATAGTCCTGTATTCCTTTTTCATCTGTACCAAATTGTAGTCCACTTTCCAATTGAAGAATGTAATTGTATTTTAATTTTCCTAAAATACCCTTATTCAATAAAAGTAGTTGTTACTATAAACCTACCCCATTTAATGAGAGTTGATTCTTTTTTTACCATCAATTCAAGTTCCCATAAAGTTGTACCATATTTAATGTGAGGGTATTTTAGGAAAATAGCAATCTAAATTTACTTTTCCAACAAATTTAACTATTTTTTCTTAAATTGTGTGAAAAAAGAAACAGGACTATCAAAATGGGACGGAGAGAGTAATTAAAAATATATACCTATCTATCAATTATTCATATCAGTACACAATAATACACTTTCATAGTTTCATTCCCAAAAGGGAAAACCGCTAATTTGGTCCCTAAACATTTTCACTAACACCAATTTGGTCCCTTAAAGTTTTTTACTATGAAATTAGTCCTCAAAATAAAATATATATGTCAATTAAGGACCTGCATCACAGCGCCGCTCCAAACTTGTCTCTTATTGAAGTAGACGGCGGTCCATTCAAGGACTTTTTGGGCACTTGTCATGAATTCTTAGAAACTTTTTGGGGTTTTCCATCTGCAATCCTTTTTTTGGGCAATCCTGCGTTTTCATCTACGAAGCACAATGACGAAAATCTCCGTTCAGTCAAAACGGCAGAAATTTGACATCATGCTTGACTGCAAAAAAGCTTCATCCCTTATCAGGAATTCGAATCTTCTGCTAGCTAACTTTACTTCATCCCTCTCACAGGATTCTCAGGTACCACTTCATCGTCAAACAATTCGAATCTCAGCTCTGGACTCATTCCCTCATCCCTTATTTCACATATGTTATGTAGTACACAGCATGCCCCAAGCACGATTGGCAAGTCCTGGAGCTTAACTTCTGTTCTCTTCTGCAAGCACCTCCATCGAGCTTTCAATCGCATAAATGATTCTTTGGCAATATTCTGAACTTCTCCAACCTTCTCGTTGAGAGCATGCTGAGTCCAAGTAAGATTCTGCCTCATGTATGGAACTAGTATCCAGTCCATAAGAGGAAATCCTGCATTTCCGACAACTCAAACATCCTTCAAAAGTCCTCTATTTGCTCTCTGATACAATGCAGACTGTTCCAAAACCTTATCTTAGTCGTCTTCAACCTCGAAACAACTAGAAAGACTCGATCTTTCGTGTATATTCAGTACCCAATTTGCTATTTCTTCAACAGTTTCTATCAAGTAAGAATCCCTCATTAGTTAAGTTTCTTCCTCACCCTCTCCCCTCTTGCATTTTCACGACTGCTTGCTGATTTTCATGGAGGTTGTTGCATCTGGGCTGCCTATCATTTCCTTAATCTTCAATCCCATATATCAAAGCTTCTTAGAATTTGGGTGCTGAAGATTGTAGCAAAGATTTAAACTTTCTATTTGCTTAGCTTTTAACAATCCAATTGAAGGGATTTTTCGAACAAGGAAATAAGGGAAGAATTTTAAGTTGGTTTCCTTGTTTTTGCTTAGATCTGAATTTGGAGGCCATGGGAAGTCATATGAGTAAGAAGCTTGGTGAAAGTTCATGTGCAATTGGCAACATTCAATACACGACTAAGCTTAATTCATATGAAGCTGCTTGTAAGATGGATGAAGATTTGCAGTCCTTTGACACAAGTCTCCATGCTAGAACAAACCATGTTATCAGTACTCTTGCTGCAATTTGAAGAGGATGGAGTTGAAGGGAATAGGTACAATAGGACTTTGGATGAGTTGAAGAACTTCAAGGCTGCTGGTGACCCTTTCACTGAGGAATTTTTTGAAAATTTTCAGTGTACAGGCAGCAAATTCTGATGCTTGAGAAGCTGCAAATGCGAAAGAGTAAGCTTGATAAAAAGCTTAAGTATTGCTTGATAAAAAAAAAAGCTTAAGTAACTCTTCATATTTATCACGACTAAGCTTGATAAAAAAAAAAGTAACTCTTGATCACGAATGCCCAAAAAGCCCCTGAATGGACCACCGCCTACTTCAATAAAAGACAAGTTTGGAGCGGTCTGCGACGCAAATCCTTAATTGTCGTATATATTTTACTTTGAGGATTAATTTTATAGTAAAAAACTTTAAGGGACCAAATTGATATTAGTAAAAATGTTTAGGGACTAAATTAACGATTTTCCCTTCCCAAAATCTGTGGAACCCTAATACCCACACCCACCGCCGCGCCGCCCCCGTTTTCCCCTCAGTCTGTCTCTCTTTTGCTTTGCCTTTGGCCCTCTCCACTGACCAGTCCGCTCTTCCATCTCCATTGTGATGCCCCATCTCTCCATCTCCGGCGACGCTCTCTGACATCAGAAGTGCGTTGGATATCAGAGGTCCAAGAAGTCCATCTCTGGCGACGCTCTCTCCATCTCCATTCTCCAGCAGTCCCAAAATCCAAAGAAGCCAAACCCGGCTTCTTTCTCCACCTTCTAGCAGCCCGGCTTTCTTTCTCACAATCACAGGTAATTTTTTTTTTTAATTTTTCAATACCTGTGATTAAAGAATCAACAAAGAAGGTTGATCAAATTTAGATTAAAATAAAACAAACAAAAAAAAATGAAGAAAAAGAAAAGGGCAAATCAAAAATCGACTTTGAGAAAAATACAAAGAGTATATAGATACAGCGACTTATATATACGTATATACAGGTGCAAAATAGTTAGAAATTGGCTTTTTTTTGGGCTTCTGGATTCTAGAATGAAAGTTTGATGAGAATTGGACTTTTTATTTTAACATTTCTTTTTTTTTGGGGTGTGTGTTTGTATACACCATATTCAATATTTGGGTGCGGATGTTTGAGACGGGCTTCAGTTAAAAAAAGCGTGATCAATCCAATTCTCTGTTTCTGATGTGGGAAAACAAATAAGGCCGTTAAGATGAGCTCAGGCGCCGTTTTCATGTTGGAGTCAATTGCAGGGTCATTTTCGTTGTCTTTATGCGAGATCCGTGTCGTGAGGTGGCCGCACTCTTAACAAATAAGCATACTCTTTGTTCAATACCTGTAATTTTCGTTCATTTTTGCTCCTTTTTTTTTTCTGTGTCTCTCTTCTTTTAATTAATTTTCCTTGTTTTTACAGCCTTGTATCTAAATTACAGAAGTCTTATATCTAAATTATAGAAGTCTTGCACCCTTCTTCGTATTAATGGTATTATTGGGGAAAATGCAAGTCGAATGTTATTATGCATGGGAGGCAACAGAGGGAAGGTGAGAGTCATCATCGGAGGATTGTTGTTGTTCGGAAAAGTGGTTGCGGCGGTCAGCACATGCGGTCTGTCCCTTTGAGCACGACCAGGAACAGTTTAGCTGACGGCGGCGGTGACTCGAGTCTTATTTCTACTGTTATTACCATAATTTCTAGTGATTCCTTCCGCAAGGTACTACCTTGGTGGGTTTTTCAAAATTAGTTTTATTTATTTTTTGGGTGGAGGTGCCTAATTTTGATTTTTACATCTTTGGGTTGTTTTGATTGATTCTAAAAGGCGACTTATTTATTGGTCATTTGTTGCTTTTCCTTTTTGGGTTTCACTTATTAAGACATATAGGGAAATGCTCTTTCCTGTGCCTGGGGGAAAAGTTATGGATTTTGCTTCTTTGGATTGTGAAAAATATCTGATCAAGGTTTGATTATCTTAGCCCTTTTGTTTTAGTCTTACGGCAGAAGTTATGGATTTCCCTCTTTGGGAAGGGGAGAGTGTAAATAATTAGGCAATTGGTGTTGTGACACGTTCATGGGGCACTTTAATTGATCTTTGGGCTATCAGGAGCATATTCTAATCCCGCACGGTCAGTTGTGAGGAGCTAGCATATTGTGATTCAGATTTTCATTTGTTATGTTCTTTGTCCTGTATCTTTTTGACTCCGAGAAGAATGCTTCTTTTTTCGTGAATGAATTTGGATTGTAAAGCATTGCTGTCAGAAAGTTTAATCTTGTATCTGATGGTTGAAAGGTGCTGTTTATTATGTTATAATCTCCATATTCTGATGTTGTGATTGCTGTAGTTTGAGTTGGATTAGTGCTTATGTTACCTTTATTGTATTGATACTTGTTTCTAATTCTAGAAATAGGAAATGGCAGTTAAAAATGTACTCAAAATCTGAGCAAATGTGTTTGAAAAATGAATTGGTTATAGGCCAAACAATTATGGTTTTCTGTGATCAGGTTTTGCATGTGTCATTATGTCTTTCGGAAGCTGGTAGTTTGTTGAGGATGATGTCATTCCATCTGTATTGAAATTTTGTGACACTGAAACTCAAGATTTTGCATACAAGGTTTGTGATGATAAACTGATTGTTGAGTGGAAGATACTGTTGATTGGCATTTCCCCCTACCTAAATTCTGGAATTATTTGGTGGGAGTATCGACATCGAAGAAAATTTTGCAGGAGGAACTTGCCTTGAATTTCATTTTTTTGGTTTTTTTTTTGGTATGACATTGTGTTTCTTGGGAAGGAACAAAAGAAAAGTTTGCTTGAATATGACTATCAGATCATGCACAAAATTGGGTTTTGTTTTTAGGACAGGCATCTCACTATGAATGTTTGTGTCGGCCACTGTGATGAACAATATGTAAAAGAGTCCTTTTATCACCTTTTCTTAAGGTGGAAAGTCTTGTGGAATAGCTGAAGCTTAATTTGCAGCATTCTGGACTTTTGCACCCTTGTGGCGTCTGTAATTTGCTTTTGCTTCATTTGTGTGTCCAATATCAATGTTGAAATCTTAAATGGCTCCTCAATAATTGAGGATATTGTGGGCGCTCCTGAGCCCTGTTATTGATGAAAGAATGAACAAAATTTTTTGGAAGATTAAAGTTAGATTACTATTTAATAACTGGTCCACGTACCAAAAGAAAATAGGCTGGTGTTTGAGTGACCTAGCTTTTTGCTAATTCATGGTTAGTTGCTGATACCCTAAATTTCTACTGGAATATATTTTTTTTAATAGATTCTACTTGTGTTTGAGAGATATCTATTCTGGGCTTCTTTGGCTACTATTTGCCACATGTACCTAGAGAGATAGATGCATTGGATTTTGTTGTGCACAATCTGGTGGGTCTGCACAAGTTTTTGAGATCTTCAGCATTTGCTGCACGTGTTCTTCTTTACCATGAGTAGATCACTGGATGCGTCAAATCAATAAACTGGACAAGTTCTAGTTATTTTTTAATTATGTGCAGATGTATCAGACACTTCTACTCTGTGGCTGGCCCAATTTTTTTCCATTTTCTGACATTAATTAGGACAATCTGTATAAGCTTGCCCCTTTGAGTCATATTATTTCTCTTCCAAAGTATTTTGAGTTTTAAGGATCCTTTTTGTTATTTGATTAAACTTTAAGGCCTGATTCATAGATTGGCTGAACCACAGGGTAGGTAAATGTAATTAACCTAATTTTATATTCCTAAATTTAAGGTCCTCTGTTTATCATTCGAGTCCCAATTTCGAAACTACACATTCGATACTCTTCGGTTCTTTCCAGTATCCATGGCTAAATCTACTAGCAGTAGCAGAAGAAAGCGCCATACAAAAGAAGATGAAGAGAAATACGACGACGCTTCAACATCATCACCTCAATCCTCTTCTTCCGAAGAGGATGATGATAATAAGCGAAGCCACAAATGCTGCCGTGGCGACGATAGGGGTCCTAGGAAATCCTCTTCGAGGAAAGACAGAAAATCATCCAGTAGGAGGAAAAGAAAGGAAAAGGAACGGAGAAGTAAGCACAAATCGAAGGAGTATGAGAGGAGAAAGAAGGATAAATATTATTTGGATGAGTCCGAAGTGGCAGAGTCGTTGCCTAGGTCAGATGGGGATGATGATGATTCTGGATTGGAGAATCCGGAGGACGTTGTCAAATGTATTTTGAAGGAGTTTCCTGCTGTCTCCAGAGATTTGGAACAGGTATAGCGGTTATCTATTTGTTTACTTATTAGTTGAAGTTTTGTTGAAATTTGTATATTGAACTGTTGAATATTTGGGCAATTTGTATTGGTTAACGGTATCAATTGTGAACATCTACTACTTTATGTGCCAAATTTACCCTTTTCATTTGTTTTGTACAAATGCTGTTTACTATGATTGATCTGTGCTAAAACAATCGCATCTGTTTTGTAAATTTTGTGTTGAACCGCCCCCTCTTAGGAAGTGTTCCATATAATGGCTTACTGGAAAAGTTTTATTTTGTGTTGAAGTGCCACCCTTTTGAGAAATGTTCATGTAATGGGTTAGGATAAAGGTTCTAGTGAATGATACTAAATTTATTGCAAAATACTGTGTTTCCAGCTTCTACACATGATAGATGATGGTCAAGCAGTTGATATAAGGGGATTGTCAGAAAAAACATTGGTGAAGCACCTGAGAAGGCTATTTCTATGTCTGAACCTTAAAGAAACTGGTGATAATATCTTTCTACTGAAATCAGAGGGCCATCCTACATTGGAGGTTTGTAGACCTGTCATTCATGGCTATGGACAGTCTTCAAAGCAGCAGCTTGATCATTGTACATTGGAGAACGAATTGCTCTCGGTATCACCAGATGGCAGAAATGGACCAGATGCCAACATGACTAAATCATCTGAAGGTGCCATTGGTCCTAGACGAAGGTATCTCGATATCCTTGCTATATATCTTAACTATCCAACTTTCCTTTTTATTTTTGTGTAACAAATTCTGCAGCATATCCAATGTGCTGCTTTCTTGGTATATTTGAACAAGCATTCGGAAATGGTTATGGTCCTATTTTCTTTGCTTAATCAAATAAATATTTTTTTTGAGTTATGTGATGTTATATGCAGCGTGATGTTAACTTACTATGCTGTATTATTGTTACTTTCAAAACTTTTTTGTTTTGAGTTGTCCTTCAGTTTGGTGTGCCTGCTTTGATATGCATTGAAAAGTTTGAAAAGCATACTCTCTATAAGTGCAAAATAAATTTCATCTTTTTGGTACAATTCTTGTTTCTTTAAGTTTCTGAATCCATTGTTTTCAAATTTGTTTGTTCTTTTAGGGTAATTGGCCCTGAAATGCCATCTGCTGAACTACTTGCAGCTGCAGCCAAATTAACTGAAGCAGAAGCTGAGTTGAGGTATTGCTGAATTTTATAATTTTAAGAGTTAATGGCTGCATTTGTATTCTGTAGAAGGATTTTCCTTGTGGAAGTCAAGCTTTTAGGCATTTTTTGCCATCTTACGGTGAACTTCTGAAGCTACTAACATTGCTAACTTATTTATGTTTATTGATGGTTGAAATTAGAGAGGCTGAGTTAGTGGACGATTCTGAATTGTTTATAGGGCCTCCTCCCGCCGCTTTTGTTTCTGAAGTTGAATCATCAAATGAAGCAGAACGATTTGAAGAGGTACCTTTTTGTATATATTTCACTCCATATACCTTTTTTTATATATTTCACTCCATATACATATTTATTTGTCACCATTAACAGATTTTAATTCTTCCCCTTGTTTCATCATCCCATAGTCTCTTTATTTTGTACTTTTTTTTATGGCAGTTTTTGTTTGGTTTGTATGCTTCTGTTTTAGGGCATTCTAAAGACCTTTTGCTAGTTCCATCACAAGGATACAAATTCTTCACGCTTGTGCTGTTTTTTTAGGTTTCTTATGCATGTTGCTCTTATTATCATACCATGCAATAAACATTACCTCATGTCATGAGTTTTTTTGTAACATTGCTATGTTACGTAGGTTCGATAAGTTTTTATGACCCATGATCAAATTGAGTATGTCAAACTTGTTGACCACTACACATATCTATTTTTGTAGGTTGAGTATAGAGCTTTTAAGCACTTGTCACAGTATATTTTACCAACAGAAAAGGGTTCTGTTATCAACAACTTGAATTATAGTCTCTTAACTGCACAGGGTGTAAAAAATGCATGGTAGAATATATGTAGAGATTGATAGCTGCTGATTGAAAATGTACATATGGGTCTTTCTTTAGTCCATCTTGTGGAAGCTTTGCAAATGATGATTTCCTTTGGTTTCCCCTTTATGGTGTCTGTTTTGGCTAAGAACAGTGTACCTGCACATTGCATTTTTCAGAACCTTGAAAATAATACTAATATGCAAGTATTCTAAGCACATTATAAAGCTTGAAGAGCTTCTAAAGATATTTAGTGCAGTCTCTCTCTCTCTTCCTCCCTCCATCTCTCTCTCTCTCTCTCTCTTTCTCTCCCCCCTCCCTGTCTCCCTTTCTATCTCTGCATTCATTATTGGTATGACTTTTTTTAATGCGAAAAGAGTCAAAAATTTATTGTCATGTGGATAGTGCAGCTCTTTTATGCTTTAGCTGCTGCATATTGCATGTAACAAAGATATAGGTTTAATATAGTAGAATGTATGTTTGCAGGAATTTTATCTTTGTCGTGGCCAGTCTCCATAAAAATGGTGATACATATTTACAGTGAGGGTGTTGAGGGCATAATGCATTTGCTTACATGCTGTCATTGAATCAGGGATGCTATCTCTTCATTTCAATTGTTATTTCCATTTGCCAGATTACAAGAATTATGGGAGCTGAGGTGGATAGTCCATATGATATTCTGGGAGTGAACAAGAATATGTCAGCCGAAAACATGAAGAAAAGGTACCTTCTTGTCTGTATTTTTAAAATTTACCTTTAAATGTGTTGTTTGGATCTATTGGAATGCGACTGTTCAATTTTCTGTGAATGATATAATCGTTAAGAAGCAGCATTGAAAACTGTTGGTAGGCTGACAGTCATTTTAGATGCATTGGCAGAAAAACTGAGGAATAGAGTTCAACAAGACATGAATAGAAAAGTAAAGAGAAACCACAAGAATTTAAGATTGATAATGAGAACGACTCAGGAACTCTAGGAATCTCTTCTAGGAAACTTTAGGCATTGCTGCATGATTTTATTATGCAATCCTCAAGAAAGACATGAAGTCTACAAGAATACTTTTGGTGTAAAAAATTGTCTTAATCCATGAACTACAACATTTTTGGACTCAACCAGTCTATTTGTGAGACTATATACCATGATATCTACTGTTGGTTCTGTTTCTAAATGCAAAAGAATTTCAGGTCATGTGCTGTAGATTGGTTATGTGACTGTTGCTATAGTTTAATTTCAGGACTTGGGTTAAATTTCCTTTTCTAGTTTGGTGCTTGATCGTCTTGTTAGTAGTTTCCTTCGTTTAGTTACTTGCAAATAGAATTCCAATCTGTTAGGCAAAAAAAAAAGTTCTTGCTTACAAGGGAATGACTCAACCAGCAGGCATATAAAGTTTGTCTTAGGCATGAACTCCCCTCCCCCCCCTTCTCCCTGCTTTTTTCCCCCTTAAGAAACCTATAACTTTGACACGATTGATTTTTTTGATTTGTTTTGTGCTTCCGCCTCATCAAGACAACAACTTTCAGGATGTGGAGATAGTTATCCTTGTTGAACTTATCCTTTTATGCAGAAAATATGGTATTGCGAGGCAGTATAATTATGCCTCTTGTATAGATCTTGGTATGGGAGGTTCTCTTGACTTTTTTTTTCTTTTTTTTTTTGTTTTGTCGGGCGGGGAGGGTTGGAGGGGTTGCGGGGTGGGGTCTTGGTTTGCATTTCTGCAAATGCATGCTGGATTGTCCACTGCTAGATGTCTGAGATTGACAAATTTGATTGTTTTGACTTGTTTTATATGTCAACTGGTCTTCTTTTTCTCCTTGTAGGTACTGGAAATTGTCCCTCATGGTACATCCGGACAAATGCTCTCATCCACAGGCCCACCAAGCATTTGTGAAGTTGAACAAGGCTTTTAAAGACTTGCAGGATCCAGATAAAGTGAGTGTTGTACAATAGTAGTGCTTCAAGAGAATTTTATTCTATTACTTACTTTTTGGTACATTCTACACGATCTCTGTCTTTTCCTCTCACTCTTGCTCTCCATGGCGTTCTACTTTAGCTATGTGATGATTTTTCAGTGATGTGGTTTTGATGGAGCATTTGGCCCAAAGTTTTCGTTGAAGGAAAAATAAGGGGAACTATTACGAAACTTAACTTTTTTTTTCTTGCACCTTGTAACACTCTTTTACTTGCTAGAAGTTTTGATTTTTTCAGTCTGTCATTTTGTTGAATACATCTAACTAAGCGCCTTTGCCAATGAGTGAAAATTTCATTGACAGTAATAGGGATGAGATAGCTGATAAACGTCACTGGTTGCTTCTACTGTGTTTCATAAGTTGTGCGAATTATTTTTGAGAAGAACCTTGCGTGTATTTATATCTTTTTATCTGATGTAGTTTCAGGACTTTGTATTTTCTACTGCATGTAACTTTACGTGAAGAAGATTTGATATTGTCTTTTGTTTCCACTTCATCATCTTTTTTATAGCGAAAAGCATTGGATGAGAAAATAAAGCTCAAAGAGGAACAAGAGGAATTCAAGGTACATTTTTTGCAGTGATCTTGGCAATGTCAATGTACTTTCTCCTTTCCAATCGTATTATTGATAGAAAGGTTATTATCAATACAGGCGGAATTGAAAGCAATGAAAGAAGCTGCACACTGGAGACGTTTGCAAGGTAAGTGTTTTTTATTTTTTTTGTTTTTTGGGGAATATTATGATCACTGTTCTTTTTGGTCGCATAAGAAAATGTGCTGTCTGCCTCTCTTTCTCTCTGACATGCATATTTGGTCGCCTCACACTTGTGGTGCCTTTACTATTACAACAAGAAAAGATGATAATTTCAATCCATTCCAGAATTTGAATATATTGGGTTTATGTCCAGAACTACATATTTCATCAGGGCAAGAGAACCAATGTGCTTTGCTTTGTCTGACTGAAGGATCACTGGCTCAAAGGATGATTAAATGCAACAAATAACACTTTTTTTTTTTATAATTAAAGAACTCCAAATTGGATCCCAAACTTTTGTTTGGGCTACCATATTCCTGCCTAATGGAGGGACAGTTGGGGAGTGATAATGCTTTAGAAAAATCATTTAAGAATAATTGGACTAGTGAGACATTACTGATTCTGAATTTCCTTGCACTTAAGATTAATTGAGGCTGCGCTACGTTTCGTTGACTCTAGTTTTTCCAGTACTAGTAGTTGATACTTTATATTGTCTAAAATCAAGTTATGGTACACAAGGATGGAGCTTGCTTCTAAGGCTCTCTATGCCCTGTCTCATCTTGCACGATTCTAAGATGTGTGACTAAAAGCTGAAGACTAAAGCTTATTTATGGCTGAGCTATCTTTGCACAGACATTTTTTCCATATAATTACAATTGAATTTTGTTCTACTTACACTTTCACATAGTCTATTTGCCGCCATGTAGCCTCTTTATAGTATGGCTTTCCATCTTTTAGAAGCATAAAATGTTCGAGAGAAAGCTGAAGACTCAGGACATGTGGTGGATCGATTTTATTGTACATTTTTCACCCTAGTATTTCCTGCTGTATGTCTTCTGTATGCAATTATGTTATGGTCGTGAAAAGGAAATGCACCCTAAAAGGGCCTTTTTACGCTGTGACTCATCTTTCACAAGGCTAAAATGTTTTAGCATTAGCTGAAGACTGATACAAGAGTATTTTCTCTTCTTTTATGCTTCAGATGTGCAATTATTATGTCGCAGTTACTTCTAGTTGTTTGTTTTTCACTGTGTTGACCAAATTTGAGAATGATTGTTGATTATTTTGTTGTAAATCTAGTTACTGTGGATATTTGTTTGGTTACTGTCTTGCTTGTCTCATCGTTAAGCTATTGATGGGATGGAGAGTTGGATTAAAGCCTTTCACAGTATATTTTGAAGGAAATTAGTTTGTAATACTAGCCTGCTTCTTGTTGCTGAAAGGAGGCACACTGGGCTGATTTTGTGCATGAAAACTTCATATATCCAAGAAACAAAATATTTGTTTATCATTGCACACTGAATTCTTAGAGCACTTAAACTGCAGGTATATCAATGGAGGGTGATGATATACTTTTAGCTGACATGGAGGCTAAGGTGGAACCTAAAAGAGATGAATGGATGACAACACTACCTCCTGAAAGAAAAGTAAGGACCTTTTTCTTCCCTCTTTATATTATTAGCATCATTCCGGTTGAATATGTTCTCACTTTGAATTTATGAAAAGGTGGAGAAGATAAGAATCACGAATAATGCTGTACCTGCTTAATAAATAGACGCCTTATAATAGAGAAATCACTAAGCAGGCCAAAGACAGCTTCTGATGCATGTTGAAGTCCTCATATTGGAAATAGAGCTCAAACCAGTTTCAGTTTAATAGAATAACGTGTTAGTGCGAATAATGATAAAATAAGCTGAACAATAGATGACTTGGGCTTTTACACTGAAAGGGCTAATGCCGGTAGTGGACTAGTGCTCTGGCACTGGGTTTATGCTTATTTGTCTAGTTATTTTCCATGACTGACTTGACCTGAATTCTGATAAATGGAATGCAGGCTGTGGAGTACAAATGTGATTTAGGATGAGAATGTTGATTGATATTAGGTGGATATAAAATTGTAATTTGTTAAAAAAAGGTATACCTTGGTGTAATTACATATGAACTTACTACTTGAGATAATTGTTTTTTTGAAAAAAAAGATACCATAGACTGATTTAAGTAGTAATCAAAATGTTACCCCCACTCTGCCTCTAAATAAGTCAATGTGACCATGGCATGGGGTTTCTATGGATGGCATTATTTTTTTTGCTGGTAATTTGAAATGGCTTTTGGCCATGATGGTCTGGGCTTTTAAAGGATACCTTATCAATGATCCAAGTATACATCATTGAAGTCTGTTACCATATGTAATACCCGTAGAATTGACAGCTGTTGATCGTTGTTTGGTGCTTCCTTAAACACTATATTCTAGCTTGGAACTTGACCCTTATCTTCGATCATTCTTAGTGTGGGTTGTTGCGCTTAAAATCTGCTGTTTGTTTGTCTTTCTCAGCCTGGGATGACCATGCAATCAACAAAATTCAGCAGAAGCTCCAAGGAGGGGCGCGGGGATACTAGTGTCTGGACTGACACACCATCAGACCGAGCCCAGAAAGCAAAAATGAAGTATGTATGAATTCTGATGAAAATGATGCTCTTGGACTTGGAGGTCTTGGACATTTGGTACTAATGCACTTTTGCAATTGCAGTTATTTGGAAGCCTATAATGAGGCTTCAGCACTTGCTTCAAATGAGCAAGAAAGAAAACGATCCAATTCAGATGCACATTTGGTAGATGAATACAACAAATCGAAGCGGTCAAAGTCACTAGTAGACAAGCATCAAGAGCTAGCTCAAAATCGATCAAAGAAAAAATCCAAGCAGGAACCAGTTAAAGAAGAATGGGAGGGAAAGCATCCATGGAGACCATGGGATCGTGAGAAGGATTTGACAGCGGGACGGCAAAGTGTGAAATTGGATGCTGAAAACATGGCTCAGGGTTTGTCTTCTAGGTTTTCCTCAGGATCATTTCAAAGAAACTTCCTGTAGAGCATTGAATCAAGAGTCTAATTTATAAGCTGCCAGAAGTCCTGTATCAGATTGACGTAAGATATCTTTAAAGAAGTGGTTTTTGCGGTCAGTTCCTGCCTTCCTATCTTCTATTTATTTGCTTGTTGCGTCTAATTTCAAACCATGGTCAAGAGGTAGTAGTCTCTAGTGATGTCCAATAGCTTAGCTGCATTTTTTTTCCCGCTTCTTTACATCCAAATGAACTTATTCTTTTTTAATTTTAGGCCATCAAACATTAAATATTCTTTTATTTGCCTTGAGATTTTGAAATTTTTGGGAGTTTTTGTGCTTTTTGGTTGAAGTTTCCAATAAAATATGAGAAGATATTAGTATGCATCATCCATGGAGGGCTCTCTGTCTGAATACTACTCTTATCCCATTAGCTCGGCAACTGGTGGAGACTTTCTTTTTCGACATATTAATGACGGAGATTTAAGTGGGATATTTTAACAAAACCGGCAGCGAAGAGCAATGCTGGCTCTGGGTTGATGGAATGTTGCTAAGACTTTTCAAAATAAACTGGGACTCAATGGTGTTGAGAGCAAGGAATGCCCTAAACGCGGAGAATAGCGAGTTACGCGGACTCAACAATTCGATTTGTTATAGTAGGTCCTGTGAGTTCCTTGTCATTTTGTCCAGCAAAGTTGCGGTTTATAACAGATGGAATTACTACCATCCCGTTAACTGTTAAGAGTTTCCAAGGGTAGCTTGATCATAATTTTTTTTTTCTGGTGTACTTATTACTGGGTACACATAAATGAGTGGAGGATTCAAATCTAGAATTATTGGAAAATTTTCAGTGTTATATGGTTTTCATTTTTGCTCTCTATGTCCGCATTTTTCTCGTAGCTCCTATTTTTGGATACTATAAGGAGTAGAAATGGTATTATCTGGCATGTGCTAAACAAGCAATTGGATAACATTTTTTGAAATTCTTTTAAGATATATTTCAGGTGATATATTTTTAGAAATATAAGATTAAATAGGAAATGTAAATAAATATAAGGGAGGGTAGACAAGAATAAATAGAAAAAATATATAAATGCAAGAGAAAATAATAATTGCTAGTATGTGTGTATATATATAGTAGGTTAAGTGAATATTAGGTGTGTTAATGGGTGTCCACTCGTTGGAAAAATTCATCTCCCAATTTGGTTCTGTTCAATTCAGCTAAATTACCATATATGTGTTTTTTTGGTTTGCAAATAAACTAAAAATTTTATTTAAGAATAAAGCATGAAGAGTACACAAAGTAATCCACCGTACATAGGGGAAGGGTTGGATTGGGCGGTACGGAGGGAGGGAGTGTAAGCAAGAGATTTCGGGTTCGAGTCCTCCTGCTTACATTTAAAAAAAAAAAAGTAATCCACTGTACATAGCTTTCTGACTACATATAACTAATACTATACTACTAATCACTCTAGCTAACAGAAAAAATTTCAGGAGCAAAATTTCACTCTAAACAAAATTTCCAATTTGTTTGGTTCTATCAACTTTTCTCCACCTAGCAACAATGCTTTAGATATTCTACACAACGGATTGAATTAGCAATTCAATAGTAGCCATTTTGCCAAAAAAAAAAATAAAAAATCCTTCTATTCCTTTCTCTCCACAACGAATAAATTGTTATTGTAAAAGCACGCTTGCGCACTATGCTAATTAAAGTGTCTTGCTGAATATATTGAATCTGCCATTGAAGTTCATTAGACCGCCCATATATTCTCCTATACAAAAAAAGACTACTACTGTATTCTTCCCCAAAGACAAGTAGTATAATCACAAGTGAAAGAGATGCCCATTGATTCATTTGCTCTTGAACATAATGCACACCATCCATCCACTACTATTCCCCATTTCATTAATTTGTCCTTTGTTGCTAATCTATTTTTACATACCAACTAGACTATCAATGCATGCATGAGAATGTATCCTTTGAGCCTCACTAACTAGAACCATGGAACCTCTAAATACTTGTGAAACTATCTTTTTTAATCAACATCCAGTAAAAAGAGTCATGTACATGAGGTAAAGGTAGACAAGTAACAGAAAGGGAATGTGTCAACCCTCAACCTTTTGAGACCTCCTCCTTCCTCGAGGCCAGATCCAATCACCATCACTGGTGATACTAATCTTGCATTCATAGTATTACCAAATTATTGACGAATATCAATTCCACAGTAATCAATTAAAGGGCTACGTGGATGCCACTTTTTTTTTTTTTTTTAAGTGTAGGTAGGAAGACCCAAATTCAGGATATCTCTTTTATACTTCGTTTCTTGAATTACCCAACTCGTTCCTTCCCCACGTGGATGCCACTTATCAAATCATAAATGGATAGTTTGATCATTATATCAAACACAGCTTAAATGTGTTGCTAAGCATCTTCTCTCGATTAAAGCAATTTCCTCCAAAACCAAGAGGAATTAGGAGGGATGGACACATGCCAAAAGGATTTACCATATAAGTTACTGCATGGCATTAAAAGTTCATTTAATCATGTTAAATTAACTGTGTTTTATAGATTAATTTATCTTGAAGTGGTTTTTAGATAGAAACCGGCGTCTCAATCTCGAATCTTCAAATCAAATGCAACCATAAGAAGTTGCTATATTGTCTCAAACATGTATCAGAAATAATAGGTTCGTGTTCTTGAAATGGAGCAATCATAAGGATCCGTCACTTTTCCACCTTATAATAGTTGCTTGAATCATTCCTCTTCCAATTCAAGCAATAACCGAAACACCATTTCAACAAGTGGGAAAAAAAAATAAAAATCTTATGAACAAGCAATAATGATAGAAGAAGTGCAGAAATCTTCCCCCAAAGGGAACAAAGACAATTCAAACGTGGTTGAGAGCTTAATCTACACTTTCATCTGTCGCCATTACCCAGAAACGCCTCGTCCTTTTTTTTTTTTTTTCGTTTTTATATTTTAGAATCCTCATTTTTAAATTCCCATTCGACATTGGTATTCAACTATCAATGAAAACGAGATTTGATGAGATTTTGGTCTGATGACTAAAATTGAGATCTCAGAATTTAGATATCTTGGGTTCTAATTTCCCTTTTTCCTCCCTACTTAAATCTCACCCTTACTCTACTAGAAAAAAGAAAAAGAAAAAAGAGAGCACCAGCTTAATTAGCCAGTTGAGTTGGTAATGGAGTAGCATGTCATGTATCCTAGGAAATCGAAGCTCTACTCATCTCAATACTGCTATGATTACACTTATGCATCCAGTTCGAAAAGAGTTGATGGTTCAAAATCTCTATCTAGTTTGAAAATCTTAAAAAAAAAAAAAATCAACGAGATTCTGCCTACTGGCTTGCACTCGCTCTTGCACTTGGGTTGATGAAACTTCTTGGAACTTAAAGGAGTTTTGACAAAATTCATGAAATTGAAAGGAGTTTGACCTAGTAATGCCTCCTTAAAATACAGGTGAACAAATTTGTATAGTCTTGTCTTCAAAATCCAACTTAGCTTGTAGAGATACTAGTTAGGTGACCATGAAGTTTTTGAGTCGACCCTTAAACTCTTTTGTTTGTTTTTTTTAATCTTCCTTTCCCCTTGTAAGGATTAGAATCTCCCCTTAGGCCATAGTAAATAAATAAATATATATATATACACCCGTACAATTCTAAGAGATTTGAATTTGGTTTAAGAAAACCCTTCAAATTCTTAAGTAAAGAACCGAGACATGAGGGAATAGGGACTGCATTGCTTTAAACAAAATTAAACCAAATGCCATATCAATGTAAAGGACTATGGCAATCTGATTTAAAATTGACTGCAATGAGTGAAGCAAGTCAAAATCCTTTTCTAAATACATTAAAAATTTTTGGGAATTTCAGTATGGCATTTTGTTCCTTGAGAGCATGTAGTTATGCCATGAACTTCCAAATGCAGTAGCAGTACTTTAACAGTTGGATTCTTCTTTTTTTTTTTTTTTCCGAAACGGTAAATGATTTTATAACATAAGATAATCTTTACAAATTCAAGCAAAGGCTTGATAACTCAGTACAGTCAGTGCACCTTGGCACTAAGGAATCTCAAATTCCTCATCTTGAATGATATTCAACGCATAAGCGCTAATCCTATTACTCAAATGATTATTATCTCCATCAACTAAGCAAAAAGAGCACATTTGAAACAAGGCCTTCAAAGTAAGAATATCCTTGAGCAGCGTTGTGAGACGCATGTCCTGCGTTTTGGCATTCTGAATGAGATGAAAGACTTGTTTATTGTCCAACTGCACCTCAATATTTTCAAACTGGTGGACAGCGGCTTTACTGAGTAATAATTTGATAGCTTCTAATCCATCAATAAGCTGATGTCCTGCACTTCTCTCATGTAGCGCCCACCCTTGACACTGGTGTTGAAAATCCCCAGCGCATGTGATCCCAATACCAAGTTGAGAATTGGCCCTGTGCACCTGTATCGCTAGTCTCAATATCACTGAATTGTGACTTTGTTGTTGTAGCTGCACTTGTGACTGCCGAGTTCCTGTTTCTTCTGTACTCCATGTTGATGATTTTTCATGAGCTTCCTACCACTCTTCGTGAGCTTTCTGAACCGTTTTCCATGGCTGCCTCTGCTTAGCATTGAACTCTCTTGCATTTCTGCTTTTCCACAGCAGCCAGAGGATGTTTGCTGTTAATGATAGATGGTCATTTCCTTCTCTTCGAGCTTTGGCTGCTGTCACCATGGTCCACCACCTGTTGAAGCAACTTTGTTGGTCCAGAGTTACATCCCATTGGATGGGTGCTAACCTCCAGACTTGTGAGGCATAGCTGCAGTGGAGTAAGACATGTTCAATTGTTTCACTCTCCTCACTGCCTCTACAGATTGGGTCCCCTTGCTTTGTCCTGCTGGCTATTAAATGTCTTACTGGTAGAGCTTGGCTAAGGCATTTCCAAAGGAAGATCTTCACTTTATGCTTAACTTTGAGCTTCCACAGATACGTCCAGAGTCCGTGGCTTTGGTTGCTCCAGCTTGTACTAGCTTCCTCCATTCCACCTTTCTTATTGTGATGCATTTTTGTCTGAGTTAACTTCCTGTATGCTGACCCCACAGTGTAGAT